CTGACAGAGGCGAGGCTGCTGGACACTGGCGCCACCAGGCCCTCTGACCACCACCAGTAGGCAAACACGGGGTTAGTATCTTGCCCAAGGATATTTGGCATGCAGCCAGGAGGCAGCCTGGGATCAAACCACCGACCTTCTGATTAGTGGCTGACCTGCTCTGCCACCTGAGCTACAGTGCTGTAAATAGTTGCCATTAGGGATCAGTCCACTGTGTCAGTCAGTATTTGTCTTGTTGTGCCTATAGGGAAGGAAGATGGCATTTACAGATAGCTAAATCTTTAATGCTCAGTGTCAGTGATATGTTGAGGGTTGTTTAAGGCGAAGCAGCGAGTGTGTTTATCAACTGGTTCTCACTCTCGTCATCTCCCAGGCAGAAGAAGAGATCTGCTTAGGGATAGACGTAAATACATTTAGGCTGCATGTATACTTAACCATTGCTTATATTGCAGTGAGTATTATCACACCTACCTAAAGGTGACTCACAGCTGACTTGCTGGATGACAGCTTGGAGTAGACCTGTGTTTAATCCAAAGCAACTTTCCATCAAAGCTTTATCACGAATTCCCTGAATATGAGCTCTGTTTTTTATCCTTTGCTGAGGTCTCACTTATATCTTTCTTTATCTGCTTTCTCTCAGTGATGATACCCATTTCAAAACCAACCCAAAGATCCCAGGCATCGATCTCAACTCTGTCAGAATGCTGTTTGAGACTCTGAGCAAACCAGCTTTCTCTGAACTCATGGAGCAGGTACTGCTTCTAACTTCCAAACCCAGTTTACTGTATGTCTCTAAGGACACATGGTGCATGTGTTTGATAATGGCTCCTGTTGTTGTCTGACTTTCTTTATCTGACCAGAAGCATGAATAATAATGTGTATGTGTTAGTCCCCATAGGGAAATAGTTCCTCTGCATTTAACCCATTCACCCAGTGAAGCAGTGGGCAGCCACCAATGCAGCGCCCAGGGAGCAGTGTGTAGGGACGGTACCTTGCTCAGGGGTACCTCAGGGTAGCCGTTCAGTGGAGTTGAACCCCCGACCTTCCGATCATGGGGCCACCACTCTACCTACTGAGCTATCCCTTGTATACTAAAGAAAATAGTATACAAGTTTTGATTTACTCTAATCACCTAATCAATTACCTTTTAAGCTATTACACATAAAGTGGATTCATAAGCAATGAATGTAACGTAACTGTCACCAGACAAAGCTGGTGAGAGCTGTGAAAGATTTAGTGTCAAACAGTTAATCTCAGGAATTGAAGGAGTTCTGCGTGAATCCTAATGAACCCCTGTGCCTCTGGCTGTAGATGTTGCTGCTGAAAATCAGCTGCTCACTCCAAATTAAAACCTCATTGTTTGTATGTAGGTCACCAACGTCTAAATCCATAGTGATTTTCATAGAAATTGGTATCAATGAATGTGATAGAAAGTGATTTTTGTCTGAAACGCTTTGTGTTTTGGCTCCTTAATGATGCAGGTTTAATACATGCAGGGTTTGCTTTGTAACCATTCATTTGGTGGAATAAAAAAAGAAAAAAAAA